GGGGGGGGGGGGGGGGGAATCGGCGAGGCGTGCTCCGATCTATTCGCCCTTCCTCCTCTTCCTCTCACCGATGGAAGCACGAACGGAGGATCTGTGCTCCTTGCGCACGCGACACATTACCGGACACATTGTAGCTATTGCGAACGTTGCTCTCTCCCTCTCCCCGATAACAGATGCTGGTTTGCAGAACGAGAGCGCGATCGGTGTTCCTCGCGTGCGCGACACACGGTCGGACATATCATGGCTGTTTCGATCATCGTAAAAGAACCTGTTGCGGAACAGAGGGTCGGTCCTTGCGCGCGCGACCAAGCGTCTAGCACATCATGGCTGCTCGAACTCTGCTCTCTCCCTGTCCCCGACTACAAAAAATGCTGGTTCGTGGAACGAGAACACGACCGGTACTCTCGCGTGCGAAACAAACCGTTTGAAACATGATGGCTATTTGAACTTTGGTTTCTGGATATCGCAGATTTGAAAATTGCTGGTTTGTGGAACGAACGGAGTATCGGTTCCTCCTTGCGCGCGAGACAAAGCGTGGGACACGGCATGGTGTTTGATGTTTGCTCTCTCCCTCTCTAGCCAATGAAACGCTGGTTTGAAGAACGAGAGAGGGATCGGTGCTTGACCAAGCGTCAGACACGTCATGGATGGTCGAACAGTCCTCTCTGCCCCTCCCCATTACAAAAAATGCTAGTTTGTGGGACGAGGGCGCGATCGGTGCTCTTTGCAAGCGCAACAAATCCTCCGACATGTCATGGCTTTTCGAACTTTGCTCTCGGCCTCTGCCGGGTTTGAAAATCGCCGCGTGTAGAACGAGAGAGGGATCGGAGTTTTTCGGGTGCGCGACCAAGCGTGGGACACAGCATGGCTATTTAAACTGTGCTCTCTCCCTCTCCCTGCCTGCAAAAAGCTGGTTTGAAGAACGAGAGCAGGATCGGTGCTTCTTGCTCGCGCGGCAAATCCTCCGAAACATCATGGGTGCTCGAACGTTTGCTTTCAAGAACAAACTGAGGATGGTGCTACTTGCTCGCGCGGCAAAGCGTCGGACACATTTATCATGCCTGTTTGAACTGTCCTCTTTCCTTCTCTGACTTGTGAACGGCAGGTTTGGCAAACGAGAGAGGCGTCGGTGCTTCTTGCGTGTACGACACATCGCCGGACACATCACATCTACTGGTGCTCCTCTCGCGCGCGTCGCGCGCGACACACCACCTCATACGTCATGGCTATTTGGACTTTGGTTTCTGCTTCTCGCAGATACGGAAATTGCTCATTTGTGGAACGGACGGAACATTGGCGCTTCTTGGGGGGCCGACCAAGCGTCGGACATATCATGGCTGTTCCAACTTCGCTCTCTCTCTCTCGCCGATGTGTGAAAAGCTGGTTTGGAAAACGCAAGGGGGATCGGTGCTTCTTGCGCACGCATCAATTTGTCGCACTCGCCACCGCATTCGAATTTTGTTCTCTCCCTCTGCACTGTATCAAAGATGCTGGTTCGAAGAACGACAGGGATCGGTGCCGCCTGAGCGTGTGACCAAGCGTCGGATACATCATGGCTGTTCGAACTTTGCTCTGTCTCTCTCTTTCGTCGACCTATAAAATGTTGCTTTGATGGAAGAGAGCGGAATCGGTGCTGGTCGGACAAAAGAGTCGCTGTTCCAGCCTAGCTTCTTGCCGAAACGAACATGGAAGAGGTTGTCCAAGTACGGCAAACCTACTCAACACCCATAGCTGTTTGACCCTCCCTCTCCCTTCCATATCGAAAGACTGGTCTGTCGACCAACAGGAGATGCGGCGCTGGTCCAACGACGTGCGGTTCCAACAAATAAACGGTGTTTGCTCTGTCCCTCCAGGTATCAATTGTTGCGATGTGTGGCAAGACGCCTCCCGGATGATTCTCACCTTTTGCAACACCACCCCACACCACTCTCGCTCCTTCACCCACTCGCGTAAGCTTTCTCCTCTCGTGCCCTCCGTCTCCACCCCCTTTCTTCCCCTTTCTCTCGCTCGTCGTTTTAGCACAGCTCCGGTACATATGTCGGCGCTGTCTACGTACGTCCCCGTGTGTAATTCCGCCGCGTTTGGTGTGCTGCCACTACATCCTCTCTGATTCCGCACATCTAGCGGCACACATCCACGGCGAAGAGAAGGTATGCGACCGGGCATGAAGCGGTGGCAGCTGTGAATAGACCCTCTCGGTGTGGTACACTGGTGCGTGCGTGCGCGTGTGTATGTGCTTGACCTAATCGCTTACAAAGATGCTGCGGGAGGGACATAGCGGAGATGAAAGGGTGAGGTGCGGATCAAGCTCATGCGTCTCTTGTCCCGCTCCAAATTGCTGCTGCTACTGCTCGATGCTGCTGATGTATGTCACTAGAGGTCTTGGATTCAGGATCTAGTAGGTAAAAGGTAGACAGGTGGGTTGGGTGTGTGGCGTTGCCCTGCAGATACCCATCTCGACTCTCCGTGCAAGTGCAAGGGCAAAGGGAACCCTAGAACCCTTTACGTGAAATGCCTGAAAAGGCACGCTGATGCTTGGCTGATGCGGACCTCTCTGTACCTGTTTAGTGTATCACAGCATTCCCATGTAGGTATGCATCCGAAACACATGTTTTCGAACTGCTGTGGCTCTATCTTGTCTTTGTGTTGTGCGCATATTATTCATGGAGGATTTAGTAGTCGTGAGCAACAAAAAAGATGTACATTCAGACTTGACATACCCTGAAAATCTGGTCCAGTTCATCGGCCACGTGTGGTTGGGTCATGTTGTAGCCGCGGCTTGCCCATTCCACTTTTATCCCACTGAGATTCAACTCTCTCTCTCTCTCTGGTAATTCTCCCATTCTCCCGCCCCTTTCGCGCTCTCCTCCGCAAGAAGTACGCCAGCGCGACCTGTCCCTTTTTCGGCGCAGCTAGATTGCGCGCTTGGGTCCGCTGCTGATTGGCAGAGATCCTTGTGCCTCTCAGGCGGGGGTAGAGTTTGTCTCGTGAAAGCAGAGCAGGAAAAGTTCCCCCTGTTCCGGTGTGGTATTATGTTCCAGCGCGGCACTTGTGGCACGATATGCACCTTTATTTCGTTGCCGCTGTACCCAATGCGTCGCACCATGTTGACCTGCTTCAATGGTATCGTTGCTCTACACATA